GTAAAGGCCCGCCCCCAAGCAAAACCCAAGCCGCCGCCACCTTGCTGTCCTCCCGCCTCCCTGCAGCCCCGGACCAATGCGAGACGCTGCCGCCGAGGAGTTGGAGATTAGAGAGGTGGGCCCGGGTGCGCGACCTCATCGCAGGTTTGGGAACCTGAAGGAGGCCAGGGCTGCTCCGAGTTTTCGTGATGACATCTCAAGGGATGTCAAAGTGTGATTGGATCACTTAAGTCCCTCAAAAGTTCCACAACGCGGTAGAATTTTCAAAAGGGAAGAGGTTTGGGAGCGGCTGGGCCAGGGGACTAGTCGTTGAACTCAGTTTGCACAGCAAACAATGTTTTTATTCTGCTTGCTTGTGGAGAACGGGTGGCAGACCTTCCAACTACTCTTTGACGGCGTCAGGATGAGATATTGTTATGAATTTGGTCACCTGAGAGGCTAACTTCAGGTTGAGTAATAAATAAAAACATTTGCTACCACATGATCTCACTTATGGATAATAAAGACCATTTATAAACTGATGAACAAAAATAGATACAGAGGCAGAGCAGCATCTAACAGACTGTCAAACTACAGCGGGAAAGCCGGGGAAGGGTGGGAGGGGCGGGGGCGGGGTAAGAGATCAACCGAAGGACCTGTATGCATGCATATAAGCATAACCAATGGACACAAGACACTGGGGGGTAGGGGAGGGCAGGGGAAGGTCAAACCAATAAGTGTCGGGGGGGGGGGGGTAGGGGAGGCCAGGGGAAGGTCAAGGGGGAAAAAAAGGAGACATATGTAACACTTACTCTTTGTAATACTTTAATAAAACAAAATTTAAAAAAACACACATTTGGAACGGCGTCCAGTTAGCAAACCTTTTTTTTTTCTTTATTATTGAAAGTATTACATATGTCCCCTTTTTCCCCCTTGACCTCTCCACCCTGCCCCCGTCCCAGGCCCAGGCCTTCACCAGCAAAGCTTTTGAATGAGTATTCAGTTATAGAAAACCAAATTTGCTGAGCTCGTGCTGTGTCAGGCTCTAGTGCAGGTATTAGGGAGCCAAAGTGAGACAACCCTGACTTCCAGAAACGCATTTCATTCTAACCACCCCATGAAATTAGTGAGGTAGGATTGATGTTCTAACCCACTTTTAACCAATGAGGAACTTGAGGCTCAGGGAGATAATGTGCCTCTTTTGCTCTCGGTATAAGATAATGGGTACCTGATCTGGGAAAGTTTAATAGTACAATATTTACAACAACAAAAAGCCCAAAACTCTAGTGGGCCTCCGACTCAACGAAAGCTTTCACTTACCCATTTTTAAGCTGGGGGGAAAAAATGGATACTTGAACTTTCTAAGGCCATAGATAATGGATTCTCTTGGTAGGTCCATATGAATAATCCAGAGAACAGTGTAGTAACCAATAATAACCAATATAGTCTAGTGGCCACTTACGTTTATGGCTAAGAATACTGACATGTACCAGAATCCTAATATCTTATGTTCTCCTTCTGTACCTTTGGCTTCATTGACACCCTCGCTCTTTCTTGAAACTGGATTTTCCTTACAGTACAGCGTAAGGTGCCTTTTCACTTCTGGGATTGTTCCTGGTCACCTTTTCTTGCCCTTCCTATGTCTGTCCTACAGGAGAAGGCTAAAATGTTGGTTTCTTCAGGATTTCCATTCCTAACCCTAATCTCATCTTTCTCTTCACCTGTTTCCCTGGGGCACTTGTTTAAAAATATAGACCTGCTTAAAAAATACCTTTAATAGACTCTATGTTTTGAAAGCTCTCTCCTGAGCTCCAGATTCATGTTACTTTACACATCTCCAGGCATATTGGGCCCCAAACTCAACAAGTCCAAAACAGAAGTTCCCAAATTTCTGTGCCAAATCTCACTGGCACTGTGATATTAGAAGGAAGAATTTAGTCTTTCGCCCATAAACTACAGGTTTTCATAGATGCCCTTTGTCAAATTGAGAAAGTTCCCTTTTATTCCAATTTTGCTTAGAATTTTTATCATGAATGAATGTTATAGAATACTTTCTCTGTGTCTATTAAGATAATCATATGGTTTTTATTTTTTCAAATTATTGTGGTAAATTACATTGATTTTTGAAATGTTAAATCAGCCCTGCATTCTTGGGATAAATTTAAAGTATATATTGGATTTGGTAAAATTTTGATTTTGAATTTTTGCATCTATGTTCATGAGGAATATCAGTTTGTAGTTGTAATATCTTTAATTAGTTTTGGTATCTGGGTAATGCTGGCCTCAAAGAATAAGGTTGAGAGTTTTTGTAGCATTATTTCTAGAAGAGTTCCTTAAATTTTTGGTAGACTTCACCAATAAGGCCATGTGAGCCTGAAGTTTTCTTTGTAATAAGGTTTCATATATATATATATTGATTTCAGGGAGGAATGGAGAGAGAGAGAAACATCAATGATGAGAGAGAGTCATTGATCGGCTGCCTCTGCACGCTCCACATTGGGGATCAAGCCTACAACCCCAGACATGTACCCTGACCGAGAATCCAACCGTGACCTCCTAGTTCATAGGTTGATGCTCAGTCTCTGAGCCATGCCGACTGGGCTGTAATAAGGTTTTTAACAACAAATTCCACTTTTAAAAATAGATATAGGGCTCTTTATATATGTGTGTGTATATGCATATGTGTTCTTTAGGATATCTTTTTTTTCAGCTTTGGCAATTTGTGTCTTTCAAGGAATTTCAGTTTCATCTAAGTTGTCAAATTCATAGGGATGATGTTATTCATAATATTTGCTTTTTATCTCTTTAATATATACCATCTGTAG